AGTCTCATATGTATGTGAAAGTTGGACAGTGAATAAGGAAGGTTGTAGAAGAATTGATGCATTTGAGTTATGGTATTGGAGAAGAGTATTAAAGGTACCACGGACTGCTAGAAGAACTAACAAATCTATGTTGGAAGAAGTACAGCCAGAATGCTCCTTAGAAGACAAGATGGTCAGAGTTCGTCTCTCATGCTTTGGACATATTATCAGGAGGAACCAGTCCCTGGAGAAGGACATCATAGCTGGTAAACTGGAGGGATAGTGAAAAAGGAGAACCCCAATGAGATGGATTGGCGCAGTGACACCAACAATGGGCTCAAGAGCAGCAGCAATTTTAGGATGGCACAGGACTGGGCAGTGTTTTGTTCTGTTGCACCTAGGGTCACTATGAGTCAGAATTGATTCAATGGCACTTAACAACAACATATATAGATGAAAAATTTACTTTTAATATTTTGATAATTATATTTCAATATAATTGGTTTTTGTATGTGGCAAGCAGAATAATGGCCCTTCCTAAAGATGTCCACAAGGAGCTCTGGTAGCGTAGTGGTTACAAATAGGGCCGCAAACCTCATGGTCAGCAGTTCGAAACTACCAGCTGTTCCGCGGGAGAAAGATGAGGCTTTCTGTTCCCGTAAAGATTTATGGCCTCAGAAACCCTGTACAGGGTCGCTATGAGCTGGAACCGACTCCACGGCACATCACAACAACAACAAAGTTATCCACATCCTAATCTCCAGAACCTATTCCCCCTGGAAAAAACAAACCTACTGCCATCGTGTTGTTTCCAACTCATTATGGTTGTGAAGTGCCATCGAGTTAGTTCTGACTCACAACGACGTATAGAGTTTCCAAAGAGTGATCAGTGGGTTTGAACCACTAACCTTTTGGTAAGCAGTCCAATGCTTATCCTACAGTGCCACACACCAGGACTCCTTTCCAACTCATAGTGACCCTGTATAGAGTTTCCAGAGCTGTAAAGCTTTACAGGAGCAGGAAGCCTCATCTTTCTCCCAAGGAATGGCTGGTGGGTTTGAACTGTTCCCTTGGCAGTTAGCAATCCAGCCTCCAGATGTGATTAAATTCTGAACCTTGAGAAGGGAGAGTATTCTGGTTATACAATGGGTCCAATATAATCAGAAGAGAGTGGGAGGCAGGGGAGTCCTAGAAAGATGATCAGAATGATGAAGAACCATGAGTCAAGGAAGGCAGGCGAGCTCTACCAGGTGGAAGAGGCAAGGAAACAGATTGCCCCCTGGAGTTTCTAGAAAGAATGCAGCCAGTTGACCCATTTTAAACTGCTGAGCTCCAATGATGTAATAAATACATATAATTTGTTACAGAAG